TCGACCAATTTTCTCTAGGAAATGCATATGCAGAATAAAAGTTTAGATATGTCAACATTTTGTGCAATTTCCAATATAAGAAGAAAATATGTGTAAAACAAATAGAAATACATGGATAGAAAACTAATGAAACTTTTGAACAAAAAGCATTATGGAACATATACAAATATGTTTAGTAAAGAATGAACTCGAAACTAAAGACACTTAGAAACGAGAACAAGCAGACATCAAGAGAGTCATTCCTTCAGAGTTCCTAACACGTTTCATTATATAGATATTAAGAGGCTGTAATTCATATAGAAACTGTCTAGAAAGTCATTTTTCCACTACTGCATCAACTCTCAAATAATGTTAAACACCTATAGTAGACCAGATTCATTACCACCAGTGACTTCTATTCGTTACTATTTTTTCTTCTCAAATTCTGGTGTCGCCTAAAGGTTGTAGAAAAAGGTCCCAATAATCCAACTACTTTCATATAATTACCAGCAACGGTAAACTGTATCATGCTTTTGTTTTATTAGGAAAAAACAAACTGCGTGTCGGGATTCAAGCAAAGTTTCAGAAGACTTGATTCAGGTGGTTGTTAAGCAAATGTAATATATATGAAGAAACTTTAAATTGCAGAAGTAGAACTTTTCTTTAACAAGTTTTTATCTGTGCCTACACTCGTAAATTATAACCAATAGGAGCTAAACACGACAATACACAAAAGGTTTTTTCTTTCAAAAATAAAAAATTAAAAATTAGGGGACGTGTTATCCGGGGTTTGAACCAGCACCGAATGTCAATTGAAGATAATGTTATTGAAACATACATACACAACCTTACAGAGCAGCAACCCAGGAAATATAAATACTTGAAACTAATAGAACAAGGAAAGCACAATCATGAAATATCGAATACCTTAAAAACCCAGAACAAGAAGGCTACCAAACAGAATCGAAACATGGAACCGAAACATTAAACAAATAAAAGAAAAGTGAAAAATCCCAAACACGAAAATGATATCAAATCACAAACCTTAAATCAAATAAATGATTAAAATTTTTAGGGGAGAGGTAAACTAATCAAAGAGAAAATCTAGAATTTTTAAGTTAGAAAACTAACCTGAATCGAAATTAGAGAGACTGAGAGAGAGATAAAGAGAGAAGGAATGAGGGTTTGATGAAAGGCGAAAGCTCGGGTGGGGGGTGAGGAACTGAGAATCGTGAGATGAGAATGAGATTGGTAAAAGTTTACATTTAGTTTTTAGGTTATTTTATTTTATTTAGTTTTAAAATTTAAATGAATTTTAAAATTTAAATGGACAGTGGACTGCTGTATGAGTTTGATGGGCTGTGGCCTGTGACTGAGTTATATATATATATTATATATATGTATTTAATTCGATTAATTAATTAAATTCGAACCTAATTAACCGTTAATCGAATTCTAAAAATTTTCTTAACCGTTAACCGACCGAATTAATTCGGTAGCCGATCGAATTAACCGAACTAATTCGGTTCGGTCGGTTAACCGAATTAGTTCGAAAATTTGAACACCCCTACCTAAAGTGCTAATGTTGGTAATATTAGGTACTCGGATAAGTCAAAAAATATAGGCACTTATTTGAGAATTAAGCCAAAAAAAACAAATTAGTATAATTTGAAAACTTATTTTTATATTAAACATTTTTCTAATGATCTTGTTTCTATCAAAGAAATGAGAAATCTGCCGTAGTCTATTTCAATCACATTTTTGGTTCTTGCTCTTTAAATTAGAGGTGGTAAATAGGTTGTTCCCGTCGGATTTTGTTGAGTCATTTGGGTTAGATAATCGATTGGATTGAACATGTAGTTAAACACGTCGCAAGTACGTACGGGAAGTCGTTCCCTGATATTTTAAAATTATTATATATTTTAATTTTTTAATATATTTTTTATTAAAAAATATATTTTTACCCTCCTAAATTCAAGTTTACTCTCTTAAAATTTTAAAAGTTCAAATTCGTCCCCTTAACTTAGAATCATATATCCGTTTAGAATTTAGAGATGATGAACAATTTATGTTAGTTTTTTAGGAAATGAATTAAAAATTTTAAAGTATAAAACTAAATCATGAATGAATATAAGAATTTAAAATTTAGATAAACACAATTATCATTCAGTGCTTCTTTGGTCTATTATGATTATAATATTTCCATCACAACGTGGATTTGTTTTAATTAGTATTTTTTCAAGTATAATTTTAAATTATATTTGTGACGTTTGATGATAAATCATTTTAATTTTTAATATTTTATTTCTGGAATTTAATAATATTAAATTAATTTTATAAAATAGTAAGAGAGAATGTTGATTATGTGGAAATTTGGGATTTATAGAGACATAATCCCATCTATAGTACCTTTCGGTATATGTATGAATACGTGTAAGTGGAGTATATGACTATATGTTAAAAGAGAAGAATAGAGTCCAAATTGATTGTTGGGAGCCTGCCTTCCCCCCCTTGAGTCCAATCCCTTCTTTGATGGTCGGAGGCCAGCCCCCATGGGATAGGATATTAGTCTTCACTGGTCCTTCCTCTCCTTTACTTGTTTTAGTGGGACGTTCTTTATCTAAAGGCTCTTCATGTCATTAACTTGTCCACGTAAAACTATTCTTGTTGTGGGATAAGGTTAGAGATATTTTTTAATAAATAAAATGTTAAATATATCTTTTAATGTTTGGCTATATAGTTATTTCATTTTTTTTTTAGAAAATTAAGAAGTCTCATTAAAATTCCCCTTCATGCTTCTCGACACACCGTGAAGGATGCCAAAAAATTATTTTAATTAAAAAACATTTAACTTTTTTTTATATATAATCTTCTATTAAATGACAAGTTCTTATTCTAAATTGATGTATAAAATTGTGATCATTGTTAGTTCCAGAGGACTCGGACTAAGAGCATAGTCGAGAGCAAGCAGGGACTGATATATAACTTTGAACTATAGGTAAATTTATAGATTTTTGGAGTGTGAAAATATATCATCAATAAAAAAACCTAAATTATATGATAATTTGAAATTTTTAAGAAGACGATGATTTCTCTAACCTTCCTTTTGGTCCATCTCTAGATTAATAGTTTTACTTTAAGCAATGTTTCAAGAGGCCATGATTTGCATGCTCTTTGTTTTACTTTGGAGTTTGGTTTTGTAAAAGCTCCCGCATCATCATTTCCAGGGATGGATCAAGGGAGGGTGGACAGAGACAGTTGTTCTCCAAAATATTTAATATTATAATATATTTTAGATTTATTTACCGTTAAAAATCTATTTTCGTCTCTTAAAATTTTATAAATTTGTTATCCTCTAAAATTTTATTCATTTTTCTTGTCAAATATAAAATCGTGTGTTTATCCCGATGATCTATGAACTTATTGGTCTATGATATTGTTTGGATATTTTGACCATTGGCCGCGCTTGGTGTGGCCATTATAGTGGTTTCTTTCTTCGATTAGTTTATTGGGAAGATTGTAATTTGCGACTAGTGCTAAATGATGAAGGCAAAACGCTTACAAAACATGAAAGATGATTTCTTAATTGGAAGTGGGATATATTGTTTATGTTTAGTGATATTCTAAGTGGTAGTGTTGGAGGACAATATATACGGTCGCAGATTGAATGATGATGTTAACCATAACTCATGTTATTAGTTGCACCACTTACATTCATCCCTTCTTTAACTTGTTTGATGACGACTATTCTTTTGTTTATTAAGATACGAGTTTTTATTTCATCTTTTTATTGTATCAAAAGATACTATTCATCAAGTTTAAATATATATATATATATATATATATATATATATATATATATTGAAGTAAATTCTTTTATCTAAGAACTTTTGATTTTATTAACATATACCCAAAGATAACCAATTTATCTTTTAAAATTAAGTTTAAATTATCATCGAAATAAATTCATCCATTTAAAAACAAGTATATTAAACTCCTTTGTATGAGATTAATTTTTTTCTTTATTTTCTTTTATTAATTTTTAATATGAATTTTACTGATTCTGATGAAATTTCAAAGATCTATATATGAATTCTCAACACATTAAAGGCAATATCAAATTTAATCAAATCAAAGGAAAATGACTATTATTCTCAAATAATAAGGCGTTATATCAAAATAAGCAGACTATTATTCTCAAATAGGTATCTAAATTATTTTTTGACTAGATTTCAACCGTGCTAATTTTCTCGTTAGATGACACATGTCATAATCTAGTGATTTTAGATTTTTTTTTTAAAAAATAAAAATAATTTATTTATGAAAAAACCTATTTTTTCTAAAATATAAAAAAAACCTCAAACTCTTAAAATCTCTTATTCTAATCATTTTTCTCCAAGTGTTGGTCATGTATGACTATCCATACGTCGTCGACCGCCCAATGACCAATAACAACTCTTATTATCATCTTAAAACTCAAAATTTTTAAATATCTAAATTTAAATTTTTAATCCCTAAAATCCCAAAGACTCGAACCTTAAAATTTTATCGTGATAACTGACCATTTCACCGATTGTGATAGTCGACCATTTGATCGACCGTTTAGCCTTTTGGCCATGGAAGGAGGGAGCCAGGGGAGGGGAGCAGGGAGGGGAAAAGGCCGTTGACCTTTAGGTTTTTTTAATAATATTTTTATTTGTAAAGAAGAATAAAAAGTTTAAAATTTTAAAATTGTTACACATAATTAATGAGATTTTATAATAATTGTTACGATCGAGATATCTAAATAAATTATATTTATAAAGTTAGATACTTAGATGAATTAAATAATAATTTAGATATTTTTTTAAAAATAAAGATATAATTTAGACAATTATACCTAAAAAAAAGTCATTCAATAATAATAATTTAAAATTTCTTAAAATAAGTGTGTCTAAAATTAACGGCAAAGATTTACCCAATCATCACCTTTACCCTATTAATTAAAAATCATTTCTTTTGTTCGGCGACTGGTCAGTTCATTTACATATAAAATTCCAACACAGAGATCAAGTCTTCTTTAGCCTTTTTCCCCTCCCTCTTCCAAAACTCAGCTCAGGTACTGTTCTTATTTTGATCTTGCTACTCTGCTCCTTTAAAATAAGTATTTTTTAAGGTAATTTTATTTATATAAAGAAATAATTACTTTGGAACTAGGCTAATGGTTTTTTTAAGGTTGTTTTGAAACTACTTTGAAGGGTTTTTAAGGTTGTCTTGTCAGACCTTAAAAGAATTTATTTTCGTTGAGTTTTCAGTATGATTTTGTATTTGTTATGAAAATGATGACTTCTGTCTGGGTTTTGTTTATATGCATTAGCTGTTTCAGGTCCCTTGTTCATTTTTTTCGAGACTGTTCAAAATTCTCAAAATTTTCTATGTTTGATACTGTTAAAACATTTTATTTCTATGCCATATGCTGTCCTATGATCTTTTTCCCTATGTTTTCTGTATGTTTTATGTGTTGATTTGATGTTTTTGTAGGTGATTTTGACAAGGAACATAACAGTTTGGGTTTTTTTTGTTGCTTTTGGGCAATAATGTAAGAGGGGCGGAGTTTGATCTGAGGTTGAATTTTCTGGTTTTGATTTAGGGTTTTAAGTTGTTACTATCATATTTGGCTTGTGAAATTTATGGTCATGGATCCTTCGTTGAAGGGGCTTTACAGTTCTGTCGATAGATTCAGACTAGATGAAGATACTTTTTTAGCATTAGCCAATCCGAATTGTAGTACCGGGTTTAGGAATGAAAATCATGTTGATATTCCTCCTATGCAACCTGCTTTGATTCCCAGAAATTTACCGCCTTCCTCGAGTGTAAACGAAGAGGTATATCAGCACGAGGATTATGACTTTAGCGACGTAGTTCTTAAGTACATAAGTGAGATGTTAATGGAAGAAGATATGGAAGATAAGACCTGCATGTTTAAAGAGTCATCGGCAGCCCTTCAAGATGCCGAGAGATCGTTTTACGAGGTTCTCGGAGAACGGTATCCACTTTTTCCGGAATTCGAATCGAAGGATCAAAACCAAGAAAGCTTTGATGAACATCATGGTCAAAGTTGTTGGAGATGTACTGACGGTGGCAGTAACTTTGTCGATCTTCCGTGCAACCATGATTTGGGTGTGCAAATGCCTATGAACTTCAGTTCTCAAGCTAATTCATCCCCTAGTTCAGGGAATAGTGCCGGTAGTCTCATAGATGGCTTTGTGGATTCTCCGGTGAGTACACTGAGGCTTCCTGAAACGTTTGACGATAGTGACACCGTTGTGCAATTTAGAAAAGGGCGTGAGGAAGCAAGTAGGTTCCTTCCAAATCGTGGGAGCTTGTTAGTTGATGTAGAAAATGAAAGACTGTTTCTCAAAGAGCTAAAGGAAGAGGCTAAAAATGTGCTAGAGAAGATGGAGAATGAGTTCTTGCCGGACGGATCGAGAGGAAAGAAGAAACCTCACCCCGGAGATGTGAATTTAGACAGCGGCAGGAGTAACAAGCAGTCATCAATTTATACCGAATCCACTGTAAGCGCGGAAATGTTTGATACGGTGTTACTAAATTGTCAAGGCATAACCGACCTTCAAAAAGTTTTGCAAAATGAAACAAACAAGAACTTGCAGCAGAATGGACAGTTGAAAGGATCCACTGGTGGAAAGGCTCATGGGAACAAAGGTAAACGGAATGTGGTCGATTTGAGAACTCTGCTAACTCTTTGTGCACAAGCTGTTGCAACCGATGATAGGAGGAGTGCGAATGAGCTGCTGAAGCAAATCAGGCAGCATTCTGATCCTACGGGTGACGGGATGCAGCGGTTGGCCCACTATTTTGTCAATGGCCTAGAGGCACGCTTAGCTGGCTCAGGGACCCAGAGTTACAATCCTGTCGTCACGAGGCCGACATCAGCTGCTAACTTTTTGAAAGCTTACCATTTGTTTCTTGCTGCATGCCCTTTTAAGAAGCTCTCGGATTTCTTCTCAAACACTACAATAATGAATCTTGCAGAAAATGCAGCTAGGCTACATATTATCGACTTCGGTGTTCTTTATGGCTTCCAATGGCCTTGCCTCATACAGCGTCTCTCAACTAGAGCCGGGGGGCCGATTAAGCTAAAGATTACAGGGATCGATCTTCCACAACCAGGATTCCGGCCAGCAGAAAGGGTTCAGGAGACGGGGCGCCGTCTTGCGAACTATGCAAAGACTTTCAAAGTTCCATTCGAGTTCCATGCAATCGCACAGAAATGGGATACCATTACAATCGAGGACTTCAAGATTGAAAGCGGTGAGGTGCTTGTTGTAAACTGCATGTTCAGGCTCCGGAATCTACTTGATGAGACCGTGGTTGTGGACAGTCCGAGGAATAAAGTTCTGAACTTGGTCAGGAAGTTGTATCCCGATGTTTTCATACTGGGGGTTGTGAATGGTTCTTACAGTGCCCCATTCTTTACTACCAGATTCAGGGAGGCTCTCTTCCATTATTCTACTTTATTCGATATGCTTGAGACTAATGTGCCCCGTGAAATTCCTGAACGGAGGCTGATTGAGAGCGAGATATTTGGGTGGGAGGCAATGAATGTCATCGCATGTGAGGGTGCTGAAAGAATTGAGAGGCCCGAGACATACAAGCAGTGGCAGGTTCGGAATACAAGGGCTGGCTTCAGACAGTTGCCACTGAATAAGACGATCATGAAGACGGCGAAGGAGAGAGTCAAAACATGCTACCACAAGGACTTTGTGATCAACGAGGATAACGGTTGGTTGCTTCAGGGGTGGAAAGGACGGATCGTTTATGCACACTCATCTTGGGTGCCTGCCTCATAAGTGCATACTCTTTGCGACTCTTGGAAGGCAAAGTCTTCCAAAATCGACTGCGGTGACGGATTTCCACATATACGAGGATACGGTGCCGAACTTCCTACGCTTTCAGATAAAATCTCTCCCCTTCGCTCCGTCTCTTTACACAGACACACACAAGATAAACACGAATACCATAACTTCTTGATATTGATGATTATTTATCATATTTTCCAAACTAGTTACTACTTAGGTAAAATCTTTGGTCGGTTCTTATTCACATGCTGTTGAAGGCTGAAATGCAACATGTACCATTTTGCGTCGGCATCGATGTTCATAATGCATAAAATGTATCAGTAAATAACAACAATGGTAATGCCTTTTACACCTGTAAATTCGTAACGGAACAGCGATATGTTTTCGTTAAAACGCAGCCGTTTAGGGGAATGTAAATGAACTCAAGGATGTTAGGTGTCTTTCATGCATTAAAGATGCTTATTGTCTATGTTTTAACCAACAAGCATTCTGTCTGGGGATGCAAGTCTTATCTGCCGATATTGCTTTCAAAGTGGTGGGGTAGATCGTATTGTTAAATTAGACTGTTGGATACATGTAGGTCTTCGATATGGATATATTTCAAACATCTTTGTAGGGTTATATTCTCATTCTTGCATTCGACTATGCGAGAAAAATGAAGAGTCGGGGGTTAGTGTAGCCAATAATATTGAGAAGTCGTTTTATTGTTTGCTATTTAATATGATGTAGTTGGTGGTATCGATGCATGCTTGTTGACATTATCTCAATAACTTGTCATGTTAAAATGCAACAATAAAGTATTGAGCTTTATGAATTGTTTTATGTTAATTGCAACTAAGACTTCATTCATTGGTTACCCTTTTGTTTATTCAAATGTTTGGGTGTGCTGATATAGTCTTGGTTTTATATTAATATTTGTATCTCAATAACAGAACTGCGGTATTCCTCGTAAAAAAAACATTTACGCAATTAAACGAACTTGTTAGTGGCCAAAACTAAACCTGAGCTTGGTTTTTACTGAGAAAAGTTGAAATACAACAAATGTGCCAAGTACCAAGTATTGATGGTCCGATCATATGATCAGAACCGAAAAGTTCATGTACTATATCTTTGAACACAGTAAGTACAAGGGATGCGAGCATCCAATATCAAACGGTTAAAACTAACTTTGAACAGATATTGATTAATAAAAAAAACTTATTTATCCAAACGGTTAACATCAATTAGAAGTTCATGTATTATATTCAAAAATTCATTTTAGTTTTTCTTCTATAAAAAGGAACGTTTTAGTTCCTTTACTATACCTAAAATTTCATGTTAGTCTTTTTACTATAAAACCGGATAATATTTTACATTGAAACTGAATAAAAAATAAATTTTCAAGTATAATACAGACTTCTAATACACTTCAACTTTTTGAATAAAAAAAGCTTTAAAAATTAGGCTTAGCACAAAAAATTTATTCCCAAACTATACCGCCTTTCCTGAATAAACGTCTAACTATTTTTCAGCTAATTCAGGTGTCTAACGTTATAAACATTATCACTTTAAGTATCTGACGTTTCAAACGTTACTACTTTGGATGCCTCAGTTCTAATGACTATTAAAAAAGCTCATTAAATGATATGTATCACAATCTGGTCATTTTAAAAACTTATTTTAAAAAACTTAAAAATATTTTTATTTTCGAAAAAGCCTCAATTCTTAAAAAAAATATCAAAAAACCCCGAACTCTTAAAATCTCTTATTCTAGTCCCATTTTAATCTAATTGTCGGTTATCTCCAGCCACCCATTTGCCGCCGGTGGGACACTCATACATCGCCAACCACCCAATAATTGGTTACAACTCTTACTATAGCCTCAAAACCTAAAATTCTCAAATCCCTAAATTTCAATCCATAATCTCTAAAATCCCAAATACCCAATCCCTTAAATTTATTTGATCGATTGTGATAATCGATCGTTTAGTCGACTGTGGAAATTGACCATTTGGTCAGCCGTTTAGCCATTGGGCATGAAAATTAACGGAGGAGGGGGGACGCGGGGAGAGAGACGAGCAAGGAAAAAAGGTTTTTTATTTTTAAAATTTTAATATTATCTTTATATTTTAAGAATTTTTTTTAAATTATAAGTTTGTGACATATGTTACTTAACGAGTTTTTTTTTAACAGTCATTAGAATCAAGACACTTTAATGAATAAAAAAATAGTTTAAACAGCTATTTAAAAAAGTTTTATAATTTAGGCACTTATTTAGATATTAAGACTAAAAATTAATATCAAAAGTCGAGCACTCGAATTCGACACGTACACCCGAACCAGAGTATCATAATTCAATTATAAGGGCAGCAAATCATGTACCGGAATTCGGATTCATAATGCTGAAGTTGAACCATTGTGGCAATCTGGGATGGATCTTTTCAAAGAACCGGATCGAGGTACTTGGCTGTAAATCCATTCGAGTAACGACTCAACGTCGTCGGCAAAATCTTTCATGTGCCATTGAAGTAGCTTCGGCAACGAAATCTTCTTCTTGTTGGTAATTCCCACTGAAGCTTCCAAATAATCCACTTTCGCTTTCTCCAGTTCGTTCACTACTTCATCCACTGTATAGATCCTTAACTGCAACATTCAGTTCGCCGCGAACATTTCAGGTCGGACCAAACAGAATTCGAATCATAATCTCATAGACGTACTTATATTAAATATAAATTCGTGTATCCGATACTAACTCGAGTCCGAATAAGTTTAGACACTTACTGCTGGTGAGGACCAAGTTCCCCGGCAAAGAGCGAAGGTCACATTGGGTTCAGGATACCCCAAACCATAGGCATGTCTCAGCAGCATTTCTTTCTCGTCCATCGGACCCTAGGGAAGTCAAAGACCTTAATCAGAAACTATAATTAGATCGGATCTCGATCTATAGATCCGAACTCGAATCCATATGAACTAAACGAATAATCCGATCCTTTTCTATACAGGAAGTAACTTGTTAACAATTATTGTATTTTGACCTACGTATTCTGATTCACATGGATGGCGAAGAATGAAATGCTCAATGGCTAAAGCATTCAGCACTATTCCACCCACATTGAGTGCAGCCTGCAGGATCAAAACCAAATTCGTATTTAGGGTTTAAACTGCAGTCTCATACTTCTTTTCAATCAATATAACAGATATCGAACGTCATTCATTCATATAATTATGATCGAACAAAAGAGCCGAAATCATAATTGATGTCGATGAAAAGAGTCTCGAAATCGAAAAATAATGACCGGGTAGCAGCGTTACCTTATTCATAAGTGCAAGTAGTTTCTCTTGTGTGGAAGGTAGCCCATGTTCAAGAAATGCCTGAAATTATGATAAATGCTTTAGATTTTTTTCTTTTCAAATCTACTAATTTGAATCAGATGTTATGGAAGTTTATTATAGGAGCGACTGTTCCAATCGAGTTAAAGGTTTGATGATAATACATTATTTTGAATTGATTTTTAAGGATTTGAAGATGTCTTACAGTACATGCATAATACAGGCATTGTAGACGTTGATCCAAAACGCTAGCTTTTGCTTGTAGGTTAAGAATGCCAAGTCAATGTTAGATAGTTTATTCATCAAAATCCTGTAAAAAAAAAGAACGAAGAAAGAAGATTAATGAAGTTATTTTAATAAATATAACGTAATCGGAGTTTTATTAAAACTCCTATTCAATCTGATTTCAGAAAATCAAGTGAAAATTTCAAATGATTATTTACTCAATTATTAATAGCTTTTGTGTTGTTATGCCATGAAAAAAAAAGGTTGGAACAACATACCTTAGCCTTCCGATAGCCACTAAACAATCCAAAAATCGACCGAGATCCACCGAATTCCGAGTTATTTAGATGAAGTTCTTGTAATCTCCGATGTCTATTAACAATCTGTCAGCAGTAGGTAATCTATCAAGGACATCATCTAAGCAATGAGGGAATGCTTAGGAACATGCATAGGAAACCAAATGAGCCTATGTCAATACACCCTCTCATTCTTCTCCCTTATTTCATTCCAGATCCATCTGGCATTCACCTTAGCCCAAAAACAAAGTGATGAACCTCCCCCCATTTTCCAAAATTTTTCTCAAACACCAGCTAAACCAAAGCTTACTTTCAACATGTCAAAAGTCAACACCTTTAAATGCATAGGTCCTAACCCAAGCCACCAAAGTGAGCCCTCCTCAACAAAAAGATTCCTCTCCAATGGCAACATACAATCTCTGTTCCAACACTTTAACATTTTTATTCCCAACTCCCTTTCAGACTTTAGAGTGAAAATACTTCCCCAATTCACTCTAACCGCTCCACCAGACATATCTTCCCATTTTCAAAAAAATCTAACACATAATTGCTCAATTATTTTAACTATTGCAGCAGGAATAAGCAAATGACTACACCAATAGTTAGCAATGTTGAACAGCACACTCCTGACCAGCTGAAGTCTTCCTGTATAACTTATCTTTTTACTAAACCAAAGGCCAAGCTTAACACTAATTTTATCCACCAAACCAACACACACTCTCAGTTAACTTCCTAATTACTAGAGGAATCCCAAGGTATCTAACATGCAACTTTTCTAATCTAAACCCAGAGACCTCCTGCACTAGAGCTTCCTTAGCATCACCCATTCCAGTAATGAAAATTTTAGTTTTGGAGGCATTTAATTTTAAACCAAAAAGCTTATATAATTCCTCAAGAACACTTCTAACTACCAAAATGAAACCAAGAGGTCCCTTACAAAAGATCAACACATCGTCAACAAAGCACATATGTGTTAACTTTATTCTGCTGCATTTAAGGTGATACCTAAAAATCCTCCCCTCAACAGCAGCATCCAACAGCCTTATCAAAACTTCCATTGCCAAAACAAACAGGTAAGGGGATAAATAATCCCTTGCCTAACCCCCTTTACCTTTGAAAAATCTCACTAGACTACCATTTAAAGCAATTGAAAATTTTGAGCCAATGACACAAGCCTCAATCCAGCTTCTGAACGACAACCCCAACTCTTCCAAAACAACAAACAAAAACTCCTAATTCAAGGAGTCAAATATTTTTTGCAAATCAGCTTTAATAGCACATCTAGGAGAGATATAACTCCTACAATAGCCCTTCCCTAATTCCTAAGCAAGAAGAGTGTTATCCTTTATTTTCCTCCCCTTCACAACAACATATTAGTTTGAGGATATCATACCAGGAAAATATCTGGCCAATCTAACTACCAGAATCTTGACAATCACTTTGTAGACCACAAAACATCAAGATATGGATCTGTAGTCCTTACTAATACAAAAGTTAGGGAGTTTAAGGACCAAAGCAACAACAATTGCATTAAAAGCAGGAAGCATCTCAGAAGTTACAAAAAAAATACTCCACAACCTCACACAAATCCTCCCCAACAATATCCCAAATTGATTTAAAGAAACCAGCAGTAAAGTCATCTGGCCCAGAGGTCTTATCATTCCCTTAGCCAAAAATAACAGATTTTATTTCTTACTTAGTGACATTCCTTTCCAAGTCCTCCTTACAACCAGAAGGTAAATTATAACCTAAAAGACTTTTAATAACTCCAATTCCACACCTTTTTACATTTCTATTAACAACACCAATTTGCTTAGTGAAGAGATCAACCTTTTCAGATGATATGATCTCAAAAGTATTCAACTTATTACCCCTTTATCCATCATAACTCTAATAGCATTCCTCTTTCTTTTTACTGCAACTAGGGAGTGGAAGAACTTAATACACGAGTCACCATCAAGAAACTAGTCCATCTTTACCTTCTGCTGACAACTTGAAAATCCCTTTCAGTAGCAAAAACCCCCAAACTAAGGCTAGTCAAATTCTCCATCTATTGCTTCCCTAAATGCTCTCTTCTATCAGCTATTTTCCCTGAAATATTAGAGTAATGCCTCCTGTTCAAGTCTCCTCAATAAAAGTTTCAACCTCTTTAACTTGCAATGCAAGATGTACATGGGATCACCTTGTACATGTTCGTAAAAAATATGATAAAAATAGTGGTTTTAAACCAATAGTAAATATTTTTTATGATTATTAGACACAAAACTTTTTCTATTATTTTATTATTTAGAAACATTAAAAACGAGTTTTTAAATAATATGTGATTGATCAATTGAACTGAAAAGTAATTTTAATGTAATATCCAAAACAATTAGTTTTATCATTCATATTTTCGTATTACTTTACTTCTTTTAAAATTTGTTGATTAAATTACTTAAAAAAATTAATTTTAAAATCAGTAGAATAAAATTTTGATCTCCACTTTTCTAGCTTATATTACTAGGACATGTCACTTTAAAAATTAGTGAAATTATTTCCTATTCTTTTATTTGATGATTTAATTACTCTTTTAATTTTTTTAATTTAAAAAGAGTTAATTACATCATATGTGTCTAAAATTATAACTCTTATTTTAAATTAATCTTTAAACTTTTTGAACATTCTAATTTCATTCTTCAATTATATTTGCATTTTAAATTAGTCCTTAAACTTTTGAACATTTTGATTTCATCCCTAAACTATACCTCTCTTTCTAAATTAAATCTCCCAAACTTTTAAATTTCAATTTCTCCCCAAATTCTTTCAAATATATAATCAATTTCAACCATTGTTTAACCTACATTTTGTTTTTTTCGAACATATAATAATATAAATTTACCTAATATTTTTATTAACAATGGATGTAGCTAGTATATACGTATAGTTTGGAATGAAATTGGAATGTTGAACAAGTTTGAGGACCAATTTAGAATGAATGTTATAGTTTGGAGATAAAATTAAAATATTCAAAAGTCTAAAGACAAATTTAGAATGATAGTCATAGTTTACGGATGTAATTAAAATACTTAAAAATTAGAGATCAATTTAAAGTGATAATCATACTTTGAGAACATATGATGCAGATGAATCAATTAAAAAATATAACTTACCCTTATCATAATTCCATCTTAATTCTATTAATAATATGATCAAATATATTTAAGCATATAAATAGGTTAAGAGTTTGATTTGTATCTTCTAATTTAAAGGCCCACATGCATAATCCAAGTCCCAGGACGGGTTTTAGTCCAAACCCGGAAAGGTCCATACCCGTCAAAAGCGCGTGGCCGACCTCGTCAAAGAAAAATCAAAATTCTCACCCGCCTGAAACACGCGACTAAATACACTAGTGGACCCCGTTCGCTTTTTTCAACGTGTAAGATAAAAACCTCGACCGTTCATTTTTTCAATCCAACGGTTCAAAATCCTCAATTTTCCCTCCGAACTTTCTAGAACCCTAATCAGCCAAATTTAAAACCTATAAAATCAGTACCCCCTTAGCACTAAAACACACGGTTCAATTCAAAAGAACAAAAAACTCTTATTTTTTCCCATTTTCTTTGATTTTTGTTGAATTTTTTAAGCGATGGCCGGAAAAGGAGAAGGACCGGCAATCGGAATAGATCTCGGCACGACGTACTCATGCGTCGGAGTTTGGCAACACGACAGAGTTGAAATCATCGCCAACGACCAAGGCAACCGTACAACGCCGTCTTACGTTGGCTTCACTGATTCCGAGCGTTTAATCGGCGATGCTGCTAAAAATCAAGTCGCCATGAACCCTATCAACACCGTCTTCGGTAAATCTCTATTCCCCCTTTTAATTAATTGTAAAATTCTGTGCTGTAGATTTGAATCTGAGACTTTGCATGCCTCTAGAAATTACTTCTGCTGATGAATTTGTGCTCTAGGATTTGTAGAATTTACCAGATTTGACTTTCTTGTTTAATAACAGACGCTAAGCGATTGATTGGTAGAAGGTTTAGCGATTCGTCGGTTCAGAATGATATGAAGCTTTGGCCTTTTAAGGTCATCGCCGGTGCCGGCGATAAGCCCATGATTGTTGTCATGTACAAGGGCGAGGAAAAGCAATTTGCTGCCGAGGAAATCTCATCAATGGTGTTGATCAAAATGCGTGAGATTGCCGAGGCTTACCTTGGATCTACGATCAAGAACGCCGTTGTTACAGTGCCGGCATACTTCAATGATTCCCAAAGGCAAGCCACTAAGGATGCCGGAGTCATTGCGGGGCTTAATGTTATGCGAATCATCAACGAGCCGACGGCAGCTGCCATTGCTTATGGTCTTGATAAGAAAGCCACCAGTGTTGGTGAAAAGAATGTCTTGATTTTCGATCTCGGTGGTGGTACTTTTGATGTTTCATTGCTTACCATTGAAGAAGGTATCTTTGAAGTTAAGGCCACTGCCGGTGATACGCATTTGGGTGGAGAGGATTTCGATAACCGGATGGTTAACCATTTCGTTCAAGAGTTTAAGAGGAAGAATAAGAAGGATATCAGTGGGAACCCTAGGGCTTTGAGGAGATTGAGGACGGCTTGTGAGAGAGCAAAGAGGACACTTTCATCGACTGCCCAAACTACAATCGAGATCGATTCGTTGTTCGAGGGTATCGATTTTTACACCACCATAACCCGTGCAAGGTTCGAGGAGCTGAACATGGATCTTTTCAGGAAGTGTATGGAGCCGGTGGAGAAGTGTTTGAGAGATGCTAAGATGGATAAGAGCACTGTCCATGATGTCGTCCTTGTCGGTGGCTCGACTAGGATTCCAAAGGTACAGCAGTTGTTGCAAGACTTTTTCAATGGGAAGGAGCTCTGCAAGAGCATTAATCCCGATGAGGCTGTTGCCTACGGTGCTGCAGTTCAGGCTGCCATCTTGAGTGGTGAAGGCAATGAGAAGGTTCAAGATTTATTGCTTTTGGATGTCACTCCTTTGTCTCTCGGACTCGAAACCGCTGGTGGAGTTATGACAGTTTTGATTCCAAGAAACACGACTATCCCCACCAAGAAGGAGCAGGTATTTTCGACTTACTCCGATAACCAGCCTGGTGTCTTGATCCAGGTTTACGAGGGTGAGAGAGCTAGAACAAGGGATAACAACCTGTTGGGTAAATTTGAGCTATCCGGCATTCCACCAGCACCCAGGGGTGTTCCTCAAATTACCGTTTGCTTCGACATTGATGCTAACGGTATCCTGAATGTCTCCGCTGAGGACAAGACTACCGGTCAGAAGAACAAGATCACAATCACAAACGACAAGGGTCGTTTGTCGAAGGAAGAAATTGAAAAGATGGTTCAAGAGGCCGAGAAGTACAAGTCCGAAGACGAGGAGCACAAGAAAAAGGTTGAAGCCAAGAATGCATTGGAGAATTATTCATACAACATGAGAAACACCATCAGGGATGAGAAGATTGGATCCAAACTAGACCCGGCCGAGAAGAAGAAGATTGAGGATGCCATCGACGGAGCCATCCAGTGGTTGGATGGCAACCAGCTTGCAGAAGCCGAGGAGTTTGAGGATAAGATGAAGGAGCTCGAGAGCATCTGCAATCCGATAATCGCCAAGATGTATCAAGGTGCTGGGGCGGACATGGGTGGTGGCATGGATGACGATGCACCTCATGCTGGCGGCAGTGGTGCTGGTCCTAAGATTGAGGAAGTCGATTAAACTAAATATTAATATAGTATTGCCGATGTTTAACGGCTTCTGGTGGTTTTATGTTTTTATGCTTTCTGCAATCTCTGTTTTGAAAGAGACTTCCGGTGTATTTTGGGAATGTATTTCCCATTTTGGGTAATGGATCAAGGATTTTAGATTATTTTCTGATTAATTACAGCTCAGTACCTTTAAAAAAGTTTTTTTTAGTTCACAGTACTCTTATACTCCATTCCTGAGTTGCAATAACTAGAGAAAATTTTATAATGAATCCCTTATACAAATGCAAATTGTATAGGAAATATTAAGCAATATTATAAATTGAAAGAAACAAATACTATTTTGGCTATTTCATGTTGTCTTCCAACTGTGTTTCCAAGCAGCAGATTCAATGTAAAAGAATAAACATACATTTTAAATGAGAAAAAATTAGATTATATGAAATGAGAAGTTATTCATAAAAAAATGAAATAATCTCTGTTATTTATTTGTACTCTTTTAATGGTTTAAAATTTATATAAAATTAAAATATTTTATATTAAAATATAACCTGTTAGTCTAATCATTTTTAAGACTAAATACAATCGTAAATCAAATATTTTTAATGCGAAAGAATTTATAATTTATTATGAAGAGCATTATCAATAATCTAATCATTCACCTCTTTTTACAAATATAAAGATAAAAATAAGAAAATTTTAATAATTAGTTTAATAAAACTCAAGTTTTCTATTGATGTGTCGCTCATCTCTTTTCTTTTTAGTATAGATTAATCAGCAACGATACTAATTTTATTGTTGGTTATTAACCGTCGATATTCTTTATTGTCTTTTTTTTATATTATATCTCTATTTTTTTTCAATAGTTTTGCCGGTATGACACATCTTCCTCTGTCTTTATGACATTTTTTTATATGTTTTGACGTGTTTTTCGATTATTTGTCAATATTTTTTCATTTTTTTCTAAGGGTTGATTTGACATCACCACAATTGATTAGGGTGATACTTATTTGATATCTTGTTGATCTTTGAACCCTTGGAATAGATGTGGATACCCGTTTTGTATTTGTGGATAACTTTTCACGTCGCTCGAGTCTGATTTGCGGTTTGTCGACGGTCCTTTAATAGTTTGATACGCTTTTGTAGTTCGTTTGTCAATACGATCAGATCTATTTGTATCTATCTTTGTTAGAGTTTCTTAGTTAGATTTTTAACCTTTCCTTGTATGGTCCTTATGTGAACTTAAGTTGTTGGTTTTATTTCAATGATTATAAGAAATTTTCTTAATTATGTGTTTAATTTACGATTACAATTGTAAATTTTATTATAATTTGAGATATTTTTTATTTTGAATAAAATTAGTTATTTCAATAAAAAATTAATCTAATTTTATATATTTTTATAATCTTAGCTACCGTTAATAATAATAAATTAATAATCTAATCATTAATTGAATGTAACAATTTAATAATATATTGCCAATTAATCTTAACTAAATATTTTTATGTTTACCAATCAATTGGATGCACGGCCTGTATACGGGATGGGTTCGAATTTATTTTAAAGAGTAAATCTGGATCTGCTAAATATAAGATTTAAAATTTCGAATTAAAATCAATTTGGAGTAATCATTTCAGATTACAATTGTTTTATATTCAAATCGAGTTTGACACAATCATCAAAAATTTGAATATGTAGATATTTAAGACATTTTATAATAAATTCTTGGGTAAATTTTGTTTTGTATTTAGTTATCTAACTATTATTTTAATTCTATTTTGATAATTCAATTAATACTTTTTAAAGTATCATTAATAATGTGTTTTGATTTCATTTTAGTCATCAATCTTTAAAAGTTCACAAAACTGTTGAAATGATCATTTTTATTATTTTGGAAAAAGTGACCAAAACAGAATCAAAGTGATAGTAGGGTGACTAAATAAGTAGTTTACTTTAAATTCTTTAAAGACGCATGTTTACCAGAACTGAAAACCCAAACTCCATACGTTGCAACTCGGTGACGGAAAACTTATTATTACCATTTTCGTCCCTCTACCTTTTTAAAGTTCTATAGTTTGTCTTTTTTTCCTTCTGAATTTCATCCGCAATCCAATCGTATTCAGCCACATGAAGCAGTGCTCCTTTCACCACCAAGAAACTATCGAGCACTTGGTTAAGGGACTGCTAGACATGGTGGTCGAACATTATCGGAAACAATTACCGGTAGCTACCATTGATTAGTCTTCAGAAAGGATGGTTAATTTAGAACCTGAAATAGAAAGTGTGGTACCATAAGCAACAAATCACGACTTGACGACGGTAGGTACTGGTAATCGTTACCCATAACGTCAACCACTATGCCCTCGTAGCCAGTCGGTGCCTTAGCAAGTGCTATAGTCTCTTGGTGGGGATGGAAGAAGGAACAAAGTGTAACTGCTGCGATAAGTTTGATTACCGAGACTCCCGATTCATATTCAAGCACGAAGCCCGGATTCATGCCTTTAGGGAGGGTAATCAGTGTATGCCATGGTTAATGCCAACTAAGCCATTGAAAACAAAAAATGATAAAATAAATAACAAAAAATTACTAAATGGGATTGGGAACAATGGTTATATGCTATAAATCTTAAAGAAAAATCAACTAAATGCCAATATTTAGTAATATTCCAGAAGTAAAATCTACAAGTTCTTATCTAAAAGTTGCATAAATTAGTTTTTATGGATACCCTTTTTTCAGTTCCCTTCATACTTTGGGTCAGCCGTCACATAATGATAAGCAATAACCAGCGCAAATATTAAAATGCCTAGAAAATTGGCAAGAAACCCCAGCTGTTCATCATCAATCATCTGCATCATCACATAAAAATCACCTCAAATCAGTAGGCAAATAAAAAATATTTCCCAATGAATCCCTAGTCCCAAAGGAAGCTTCAAAGTTCAAATTCCATCCATGTTTTTCCCTGTGAGTGTCGGATACAAGTATATACTCTAAATATCTACGTTGCTCGATAACAATATCGGGTACAAGCATACATCCTATACGAGCATATTCAATTTTTTAAAGCATTTTCAAATATGTAAAAGGATCATATCCTATAACGATGTCCGAGTATACGCCAAACAGGATACTTCAGATGGGCAATTGAAGCAACATAGGAAAAAACTGTAAATCAGAAGATTAATCACAAATTTTGCCAATGAATCCCTAATCTCAAAAAAGGTTTCAAAGTTCCAATTGTCTACATTATTCGATATGAGTGTTGTATATAAGTATATACTCGAAATATCTATGTTTCTAGGTGCGAGTATCAAGCCAACGAAATTCTAATCTCAAAGAAGGTTTCAAAGTACCAATCATCTACTGTATTCGATGTCCAATACAAATACAGGGAAGTTCATTTTTTAGAAAACATTTTTATCTATTCAGGATATCATATCCTATAACCTTGTCGTGATATATATCAAGCACGGTACCTAAAAGAAGAACAGGAAAAACTAAGCAACATAGAAGAAAACTGTTAGCTATGTTTGGCTAGAATTTAAATATTAGGATTCATTTTAGATGTGAATTTTGAGAACGGAACACAGAGGGTTAAATAGAACATGATTAACCAAAATGCGTTAATGGAATAACATGAAATCATTCAGTTCTCAGCTTATATAACCAAAATGCTAATTGTGAGAATGAAACAAATAGGCTCGTCCTTTCTAATATTATGATAAACATCCAACAAATGAAGAATTTGAAAAAGTAATATGTTCAAACTCCAGATCCAGTCTGTGCAATCACTTATTACTAGAAATCATTCAGTTTTCAGCTTATATAACCAAAATCGCAATGAAGAACAATGGAAGATCATGAAAACTGGAATATTAGAAAGAACGAGCCAAAATACCACGAAAAACGAAGAAATCTATCGACGAATGTGAACGTATAAGAAACCTATGATCCGATACCGACTACGTTGGTGATACATTGATTAACGAGAAAAACAATGGCGTACCTTGACGGATGTAGGCGACGCAAGTTAAAGCCAAAGAGCTGAAGAAACGAGCTGAGATCTCAGGAAAGAACGAGTGAAACAGAACACTGAAGGTGAAGGATCCCTATTTATCGACTTCGAAAACTTTGAATTGTACACTCTGGATGAAAAACGGCAGCGTTTCATGGACCGGAAAGAGGGAAAAATATACAAATGTGGCTGCTGGGATTCGAGCCCAGGTCTCCACGGCCACAACGTGGAATTCTTACCACTAAACTACAGCCACGAGTCGGTTGACATCAACCATTTTTATATACTTAGATCTTTTATTCTTCGGATAAGATCTAATAATTGATAATAAATAAATATAGTTTATAATTATATTAAATATTGAATCACTATTAATTATATGATTTTTTTAATATATTAAGTAAAAAAATTTAAATCATATTATATAAAATATAATTTAAATTGAATTATTAATAAAATATGACATTTTTTTAATAGTCTTGACTTTTTAGGTGATTACAAGATAATATATATTCAAATATTTATTAATCTATTGATGATACACACTATGCAAACACAAATACTTGAATATAAAATTTCTAAAAAGATAATATTTTATTTTATTATTGAAATTATTTGATATGTTCACAATAGAACATGACATAACATAAATTATATTTTCAGAACTAACTAGGTAAAAAATCCAAGGGGTTGAATACATATTCTAAGTCAACCAACAAGTTAACATAAAGATTAACTACACAACTTATAATTATAATATTAGCTCGAACAATCAATCGAAAATCGTTAAGATAGAATAAATTAACTTTTAGAAAAATTGATGGAAATTTAAATGAAAAATAGAACTTTTGACACAATCGTTTTAAAGTGGTACAGTTTTAAATCAAAATCTAAATCAGTTCTTTAGCCTTTTCAATCAAAGTTTATTATTGATACGAAACAAATTCTTCAATTAAATTCATTGATATTACAATTAAAATATAAAATATCAATTTAAAAGTTATATAACAAAAATCGATGTTGCAAAGTAAATTAGAGATGATATAACAAAAATACCGTTTGGTCTTCCTGATATGGTTTTCAATATTTTCCATAATGATTGTGCTGCTTAAGGATAATTTCTTTTTGTAATGGCCTGAAGGCTCTCTTTTTTTAGTTAAACTATTCATCGAGTTATCAATCACTATGGAGACAAAACGGCAACGTTTACAGACCCAAAAATACATTTAACCTGGCTGCTGAGATTCCTGCCCAGATCTCCACAGCCACAATGTGGAATTCTTACCACTAAACTACAGCTACAAGTTGTTAAGCATGTGTAATTTTATTCCAATTATATATTTTACTCACTCTTCGCATGGAATATAATAATTATTTAAAATAAATTAAATTTATAATTACATTAAATATTGGATTATCACTAATTAAATGATTTTAATTTTTAATATTTTATGTAAATAAATTTTAAATTATATGAATAACTATAATAAAGCATATAAAATATTAGTTAAATTGAGATATAATAAAATAAAAAGTATTATAACAGTAAAATATTTTTATTTAAATTTTAGTACCAATTGTTTTGAATTCAATTCTTAGGTAATAAAATGATATTTTATTTATTTTTAGTCATAAAAATATATAAATATTATATAAAACTCTAAATATCTTTTATTTTAATAATAAAATGAGTAATAAATAAAGTCAAACCAAATCCAATCATAATCAAAATCTGGCAAAGGCAAATTTGAGCACGGCATGGGCTTATGAAAGTATGAGATGGATTACATCTTTGTAGATAAATAAAAATATATATTTTACTAATAACTCGTTAATCTAGTGAAATGAGATAAAAGAGTAATGTCATGAGTTTCAAAACTAACGTTTGCATATGGAATAAATTAAGTTGGGAGGATCACCCCATAATAATCATCTACAAAACCCGATATAAATAAGTTGGTCCATAGATAGTATACAAATGATTAATTCAAAATAATATTTTAAAATAATATTCGTTATTATTTAATGTAAAAATATTTTTATTATTTTCTAACTGCCTTGATACCTAATTAAGTTAAGAAATATAATCGCTATAAATGTTATCTGATTCAGATTTTAAGACTTGTGCGGGACCTTATGTTTATTAAGTAAAGCATATATTGATCGATTATTATTACCTAATTTTGACTAGACATAACAATTTCTGTTATATCAAACGCCAATAGTTATATAAATAAAAAAATATTGGTAAATTAAATGAACTTTTTATTAAAGTTTTTTAAAATAAATAAAAGTTAATAATTATATAATTCAATTTAAGAATAGTGTACATGTATATAGATTTTGAAAATGTTAAATATTAACCTCAAAACAACTAAACCTTATTTATATGAGTTATGTTTAGATTTATTTTTAATTCTAAAACAACATATGGTGATCAAAATTCGAGTTTGAATAATCTAATATTTTATTAAATTTAATGGTTAATTATTTTAAAATCTTAAATTGATAAAATAAATTCAATTATTATATCCAATTTTTTTTAAAAATGTTTCACTACAACTCTTTGCTAATTATATACCAAACCCACCAATCCATCAAAGATTTTCCCACTTTGCTAGACAACATATAGTGGTTCTTGATTTTATAATATTTCGAAGTGTTAGAGGTTTTAGTTCACAAATTTAAAAATTTTAAATTATGATTACTTGAATTGAATCGAATTCAAAGCTTATTTAATTTATAATTAGTTCTATAATATATAATAAATATTTTATAATTTAAATAGGGAAATGACTTTAAAAAGTATATATAAAAATTTCTAATCATTTTTATTTATTTAAAAATTATTCATGAAAAAAGATTAATTTTTTCAAATAATATTCAAAAGCCATAAATAATGTTACTTTATCAAAATAAAATACAAATCTCAAAAATCAAAGATAATATGAAAAAAGTAAAAAATAGATGGATTATTCAAAAAAAATATCTAATCGAATTAAACTAAATCGTACACAGTAGTAATCGGAAGTCACTTAACTATGTTAAAAATATTTTTTTTTTGTTATTAAACTTTCATAAATTATAAAAGTCATTAAATAAATTTTGATTTTTTAATACTATAAATTTAATGATAACTTTATAATTATTTAATATATTTCATGATATTTTTAATTTAAAAATTTAGTGACTAAAATGATCGTTTGAGCATAGTTTATTACCTCTGTTGTACTTTACCCTAAATTTAATGGGATTGGTCCGAGGGATGCTTTGTAAGGGGATATTATTTTAGATAGGAGAAACCGGACAAGAATCTCGGGATATTAATTAGAGTTTTTAAAACATTCTTTTGAAATTAATAATTTAACATTTCAATATTTTTAATATTTTTAATAATTTTAAAATGTTTCAAACTTCACCATATTTTATTTTATTTTTTATACTTTTTAATTTTATATATGCCATTATTAAATGTCATACAATAACAATTATATTAATAAAGTTAATATAGTGGGATGAAACACTTAAATAAGGTTAAGAGTTTAAATTTTAGTGTGTTGCGTATAAAATAAAATGTGTTGGGAGAGTTATCTCTGTAATGGACTTCTTCAAAATTAGATTTGAATTAATTGTTCAATATTAAATAGCAATAACTAATTAGAAAAAATTAACGACAATTTTTCTCAATCAAATATTAACATTGATGAATTTTTGGAAGTCGAGAAATCAATTGAGTGTAATTTTCGCAAAGTAATTGAATTTCTTTCTTTCCTTTTTTTATTAAGAATTTATTTTATGGTACAAATATAAAGATTAAAATATTCCATAAACATG